AAAAGGACTTCCTCCAATCCGGCGGCGCGGGGCTTTGGTCAAGACCCAGCGAATACGTCAAGATCCTCGCCGCTCTATTGAACGACGGAACGAGTCCACAAACCCAGAAGCGCATCCTCAAGAAGGAGACAGTCGACCTCATGTGGGAGAACCAAATCCCCTCCCAACCCGACTTTGCGCGTGCCAACGTCCCACCCGCGAACCCTTTGCTTGTGAATCAAGCAGCGGATATGTATCCCCAGCCTGGAAACCCTCCTCAGGGATGGGGCTTTGGGGGTTTCATCACAATTGAGCCAGGTCAATCTGGTCGTGGGGCTAATACGCTGTGGTGGATGGGCTTGTGTAACTGCTTCTGGTGGGTGGACAGGGAGAAGGGTGTTGCGGGTATGCTGGCTTCGCAGGTGCTTCCTAATGGTGATCCCAAGGTTATCCCGGCTTGGTTCATGGCTGAGAAGGGGGTTTATGATGGGTTGCAGTAAGAAGCTTGATGAGTACGATGCATAAGGCGTTTTTGATTGGCGGTGTTACGTAGCAAAGCGCGCAAACAGAGGCCGTTGGTCTAAAGGCAGGTGATGGAAAGCAACCGCACTAGAAAAAGAACTCATAATGCCTCCATGTACAGCAGCTCCATTGTCTGCGCGCGCGTTTGCTTGTCAAATGGATACTTGAAGATATAAAGCAAGCATCCCCCAAGACGCGAGCAAGAAGAAATATCTATCTCTACTACAAGACGCCAAGTTTCTTCACTTCCACGACTCCGACTATCTACTCGTCACCCCAATCATCAATCTACATTCTACAAATCAGCAAACCTCATCCACTACATTTACACAACATCAAAATGATCCTCTCCCGAATCCTATCCATCACCCTCCGGTTCGCGCAATTCGTCTGCGCAGCCGTAGTCCTAGTCCTAACATCCATCCTCCTCCACCAAATCCGCCACATGGACGCCAGCGACTGCCATGGCCGCCTCATCTACAGCGTCATGATAGCCGGCATATCGGTCATCGCGTCCCTCCTCTGGCTCTTTCCCACCACGTCTCACATCGTCAATTTTGTCGGCGATCTGATCTTTTGCGGCGCGTGGGTCGCTGCCTTTGGCTTGCTGCAGGATTATTATAGGAATGGGTTGGACTGTGGTAGTATCTGGGAGTGGGATCAGATGATGGTTAGGAATGGAATGTGCAGTAGGTGGAATGCGGCTCAGGCGTTTGGGTTCCTGAGCGCGGTGTTTTGGTGCGTGAGTTTTGGGTTGGGGGTGTTGGTCTGGAGGAGGGGTGGTGGCAAGCGGGGAGGTGTGGGTAGGGTGTGATGATGTGCATGGTACCTAGGTAGTTTTGCGATGGATGGTTTGCAAGCTGCTTTCTCTTGCGAGACCTGCGACTGCAATACGTGCTTTGGACATTTGGTTGCTGCATCGTTGTGCGGCTTGGAATCTTGAGGAAGCCGCGGACGGGACCTCGGGACGCGCTGTCGCCTTAGACCAGGCCTGGTATAGTATGAATCATCATCAACACCGACTGAATTTACGCCTTGTAAACCCTAACATACAACTCTCGTCGCCGTGCAAGTCCGAGCTCTAAATCTGCGCTACATACATGTCCTGCCATCTCGTCTCTGATTCGTTGCTGGTCATCAGGCGTCCAAGGGGTTCGTAGATCCTGCGAAATTCTCCACCCGTCTAGGCTGCCAGCGTCCCCGTCCGGCAAGTTCTTACTTGATTCCTCGGGAAGCGGGATTTCGCACGACGTTTGCCCTAGAGCTGGATCATCAGGCCCCATGGAAGCCTGGAATGTTGTATATGGCTAATGCACTGCACAGGCAGCATGCTGTCTAGGTCTGGCGCCGTCAAATCTAGGTACATGGCGCTTATTGTATAAAGATACTCCATCGTCCGCTCTTCTTGCTCACATCTTCACGGCCGATATTGCATCACATCGCGAAATACTTGCACCATGTTATCACCACTCACTATCGGTCTTGGCTTGCTACCACTGCTCAGCGCAGCGTATCTCGAGGAGCCTCCAACTACTGCGGCTCCAGACACCGTCGCAGACTGCTCATGGTGGCATGTCGCCGCAGAGACCGACACATGCACCAGTATAGGTGCATACTGGGGACTCACAGATGCGCAGTTGACGGAATATGTACGACACGAACGCCACAACACTCTACGCATATACTAACGCCTGAAACAGAACCCAAGTCTGGCTGATGGCTGCAAAGTCGTCCCGAATAACTCTTACTGTATTGAGAGGAACTTGGGCAAGCCTGTACCATCATCTGCCACTAGCACCCTTGTGACTGTAACCAGTACCAGCCAGACGCCTACGCCTACTCCCACGACGCCTTTGGAGATCTGTGAGGAAGAAGCCGGTAGTTACGCGAGATACTGCCCACGTTGTCTTTACCGCTGCGAGAACGCGACACAGAACATGGCACAGTGTTTCTACAGTACTTTCTTCACCATCAATGGCGTTCAGAGTCAATGCTGGCAGCATGGAGGCAACGATTGTGCGAACCAGGCGGCGGCCGCTGTGTGCCCAGACCAATAGGCCATGTCGCGGTCAGGCAGTGATCACAAGAGGTGGACTAGACTTTCGACAGACATGGTACTGGGTACATGGGTAAAACTATTGAAGGAGAGAGCTGATGAACGCCAAGGTCAACATATTTACTTCATGAGTTCCACGATCTTGGCCAGATCTATCGGAGATTTGGAGGGTTACCCTGATGGATCTTCTTCGTCATCTTTGTGGGCCGTTGTACAGGCGGCAGGCTATGCACACACAAATATCAGCACAGCGCACGAGTTTCAGCAGACAATATAGATGAAATCCTCGATTTAGCGGCGGTTGAGAACGGATGAGTTGTGCAAATCTTGGAAGTCCATTGCGGTGATGAGTGACACCGACGGCGATGTCATAGCCGCCAAAATTGACGACTTGCCCACCTCTTCGCATTCGCGATCGCAGTTTTAGCCTCTTAGACGTCGATGCATCTGATACCGTCAATCGGCGTTGAGAACGTCTGCTAACATGCATTAGTACCGTGACGCAATGGCAAAACACCAGTGCGCCAAGCTGTATATGTTTGTTCACATATACTCGACACCACTTCGCCTAAACACAATGCTTGCACGTTCGCATCAGCCGGCAGGCAAATAAAGATACGCGATGTGCTTCCCCGCAATCGACATACTATCCCCCGATGCACGATCTCGCGTTTGACTCCCGAGGAGCTCATCCGGCACCTGACTAGGGAGCTTAACCACCGGCCAAGACAACGTCGACCCACCATATAATAAGCTGAAGCACACATTCTTAGCTAGCGCACGATCGCATACTAACAAGAGCATGTGTGACCTTTTCACCCCGGATCCATCTATAACAAAAGGCCCAACTAGAGCCTCAACCCCGACGAAATAGGCCCGATGGAATATATCAAGCCCACATTTACTGGTGGTTGGCGCGATGATTTTATCCCTTTGCAATCAAAATGGTTGCAGACGAGAGTGTGCGGTGGGCAGCCAAGAAGTGATGGAGGACGAATGCAAGGGCTTTTTAGTGTATTGGGGACGTCTTAGCACGATAGGGACGTCTTGGTACAACGGGGACGTTTTAGTGTAATAGGAACATTTTTTTGGTATATAACATGCCTTGAACTTGACTCAGTTACCTACATCGTCATCAGCTCGTTCTGCGTCTTCCTCGATTCTTTCGCATCCATCAGCATGAAGTACTCATTCACTCTCGCCGTTGCGGCTTTGTGCGTTGAAAACAGTGTCGCAACACCGCTCAACCTTGAAGCCAGACAGGTAACCAACATCACTCCTACCTCAAAGACTCTATTGACATCTTCTCAGCAAGGCAGTGGCGCAGGCCCTTACGCCCCGGGCACTTACAAGACCGAAAGCTCTCTCCAAGGCCACACAATCTACTACCCAACCAAGAGCACCGGCTCCGAGAAGCTCCCTGTACTCGTCTGGGGCAACGGCGCCTGCAGCACCGACGGCCGCTCCAACTCGGCTCTCTTGCAGAACATTGCCAGTTACGGTTTCTTGGCTATCGCTGAGGGTGGCCCCAACGGCGGTGGTACCTCAAATGCTCAGACCATGAGACAGGCCATTGACTGGGTCACCCAGAACGCCGGCAAAGGGAACTATGCCAACGTCGATGCGAGCAAGATCATGGCCGCAGGATTCTCGTGCGGTGGCGTCGAAGCCATCGACAACATCTGGGACAGCCGCGTCGACACCATCGGAATCGTCAGCTCAGGTCTGCTGACAAACTACACTGCGGCCAATAACTGGAGGAAGCCAGTGCTTTTTGTATTGGGTGGTTCAGGTGACATCGCTTACGGAAATGTAAGTTCTCCTTACCTGCTCCATTATGTTGCGTGCAAGATGAACTGACAAGGATTCTAGGGCGAGCGTGACTACAAGAACATGCCGGCTGGTGTTCCGACCTGGAAAGGCAACATTCCCGTCGGCCACGGCGGTACACTCGGCGATGCGAATGGCGGCCGTTTTGGCAAGGCGATCCTCAACTGGATGCTGTGGACAATGAAGGGAAACACACAGGCGGCGTCGTACTTTACCAGTGGTTATCAGGCTGATGGATATCAAGTTGAGTCTAAGAGCTTGAACTCGTTGAAGCCGTTCTGAGTGCCGGAACGCGAAGGCGTAGTCGTGGAGAATTTTATGAGAGAGACCATACCTAGGTATAGGATGCCAATCGTCCCTATTCGGAGTTATCATATTCGAGCAAAAAACCAGTGTTATGAACATGCACTTTCCATAATCAAGCTCTGCGACGTTGTCAGCGCTCAACGGCACCGAATTCCCATCCCCACACTCCACTAACCCCTCCGCGTTAGAGCTCCCGTCAGCATTCACCCACCCCACCATGGATACCCCAACAACATCATCGTCTCATCCCAGTACCGTAACACGACACACCAAACCACCCCATCTCAACACCACCTCCTCACCCAAAATGTCGACCCCCCTCGCCACAGTAGCCATCCTCTCAATCGGGCAAATGGGCCTCGGCATCGCCGCACTCCTCACCTCGCACAACTACCGCATAACAACCAACATCAGCGGCCGCAGCGCCGCCACAAAAGCGCGCGCAGAATCCGCTGGCATACACCTCTATGCTACAGACGAGGAGCTCGTTGCAGACGCAGATTACATACTGAGTATCGTGCCGCCACGTGACGCTGTGGCGACGGCGAAACGCGTGGTGTCTGCGCTGCAATCGGAGAGATGTGAGAGGGACAGGAGAGAGAAGGAGAAGGGCGCGGTGTGGTATTTGGATCTGAATGCTATTAGTCCGGGCACAGTGAGGGGGGTAGCGGGACTGTTTAAGCAGAATGAGAAAGACGTTGTGTTTGTAGACGGGGGCATTATCGGTGGCCCGCCAGCGCCGCCATCACAGACAGATCAAACTGCATGGACAAGACCCGGTATCCCGCTATCGGGACCTCATCCGCTGGACTCCGCACCCATTTCCGGGGCCCATCTAGCTGAAGTACTTAACACGCGGTATCTCGGCGGGGAAGTCGGGACAGCGTCGGGGCTGAAATGCTGTTTCGCGGCGCTGTCAAAGGGGTTTACAGCATTGGCGCTGCAATCTTTCTCGTCGGCGGAGTCGCTGGGTGTGCTGGATCCGTTGCGTGAGTATCTTGATGTGTATAATCCTGGTGCGAGACCGAAGGCAGAAAAGAGTGTGGTGGGGTGTACGGGGAAGGCTTATCGGTGGGTGGAGGAGATGATGCAAATTGGTGAGTGTTTTCGAACGGAAGGTGGGACGGCGGGTGAGGCGAGTGTGTTCAGGGAGATTGCTGGCGTGTTTACTGGGTTGGCTGATGTTGTGGAGAGGAACGGGAAGGAGGAGATGGGGAGTGTGGAGGGCGTCGTTGGAGCGCTGTTGAAGGATCAGAAGAACAAGAAGAACTAGTGGGAGCGCAGGTCTGCTGTCTTAGTGGTACGCACATGCGATCTTCCTGCATAAACGCGCATTGTCATTAGACGTATTCAGATTGGAACACCATACCCCCGCGCTATGCTACTTAACAGAATCATGGTCATCAATTTAACATAAATCATGCCCTCCGAGCATTACGGCCATCACCATAGGCCAATGTGCGTCCCATATCCATTACCGTACTCGATCCTGCCGCACTACTACCGCTGACGCCCCTCTTGTGCCCGGCCTCCATACTGCTTCTGCCCTCAACCAGCGCCCTTCGTCCATCGACGCTCTGTCCAACGAGCCTACCACTGAATTGGTGCCAGCAATTGGGCGCTTGGAGGATATACTTTTCCATCGCAATCCTGAATCTGTTCCTGTAATCACGCGGTGACGTGATGGTAGGCTTGTTCTTGCCGCGATCCTTGATCCAACTCTCTAGCTTCTTGTCCCAGGTGTAGGTGCGAATGCAGTCGATAATACCTACGATGATCTCGCGTTGTGTATCGTCAAAGCCTGCCATGAGAGAGTAGTCCATAACATTGTTCTGTGATAGGAAGAGCGTATCGTTAAACACACTAGCTTTGAGCAACTTCTTGGTGTGCTCACGGACGAAGATGGGTGTCTCAGAGTAAATGATGTCAACAAGGTTCTCGTCGAGAAGAACTTCATCTCGTTCGCCAGTGGCTTGGATCTTGCGATTGCGCATACTGCCCTTGAGATCGTAGCGGCGATTCGGTTCGCGATCGTAGAATAGGTTCTCCATAACAAGCATGTACCAGTCAAAGTCACGACCGGTGGGTGTCTTGATCTGGACTTGGAAAAGGCCAAACATCTTAGCGATGACGCTGGGTAGCGATTTGAAGAGGTTCTGGTGCGTAAAGGCAAAGTAGTTGGGGCCGAACTTGAAGAATGCTTGAACTTCGACTGGAGAGAGTGACTTCAGGACAAATCGGTCGTCGAGGGTCTTCAAAAAGATTGACTTGGACTTCCCGCCCTTGGAATCCCATTTCGAACAGCGGGAGAGGGACTCCACGAAACGTTCTGCCACACCACATTTGCGGCGGAGTGCGTCGAAAGATTGGGCGTAGAAAATCTTGCAGTGCGCCTTTACCCCACGATTGGTGAAACTGTAGCGGATGTTGTGGTTTTCTTCATGCAGCAGATTTCGTTCGACTGACTCTTCAAACGTTTCCATAACGCCATCACTTGAAGTAAAATCGCGGAAGGTTTGTCGTTTGGCAACATAATCTGGACATGACAGCGCCAATGCAATAATGGAACTGGGTTCGTCTTCCCGGATGATGATATCCGAGTTCTCCCAGACGTGCTCGATCTGTGAGAATGGATACTCAAGCGGCGTCCATCCACTTGCTGATCGTTCGGACCAGAAACTGGTAAGAATTTTGAGTAATGTGTTCTTCTCATGTTTGGGGAGCTCAAGAGAGTTTTCCAGCTGCGAGTCACTTAGACTCAGAAGTTGAGAGCCCGCGAGGCTCTCCGGTAGAGGAATGTCTTCTGGCGTCGTCTCCGTGTCACTGATGTCGTTCTCGGGATCTGATGGGAAGTGGCTTGGTGATTTGGGTGACTCATCGCTGCTGGGAAGTTGGGCCATTTCATCATGAGGGTGTCGCCTCTCCACCGGTGATTGCGACGCTGTTGTGTCACCTGTGTGCTCTGTGAAAGTGCTGTCCCCAAGTGTACTGTTGTCTAGACTCGCCCGAGGAGGAGTTGGAGTACGAAGATCTTCATCAGAATCTTCGTTCTCTTGTACAGCGTCATGGACATTTTTGTACACCTCGACAACCGGTTTAGAGGAGGCGAGTGGGAACGCGCGCACTTGCCTAGCTCGATCATTACGTCTCTCGCGCATACGCTGGTTCTGAAATTCTCGTGACAGCTGTTCGAAATGCTGCGCAATCTTCGATACCTTGTTTTGGCTCTTGTAAGGTATCGACCGAGGTATGCGAGATGAAGACTTGGATTGCTTTGGGGTAGACAACCCTAGCCCAAGTCGTTCTGTCATACGCTCAAAAGCCTTTGTAGAGTCGTTGGAGTTTGGCTTCGGACTAGTGGGCCCGTTGTTGGAGACCGATGAGCCTGGGAAAGGGCCGATATGTTTAGCAATATTTCCAGGCTGAGATTGTGTTCTCACAAGTGCTGTTGGCCGGGCCGGCGTCTCACGTCGACCGGGCTCGACCAGCCGCGGAATTTTGCTTTCAGCTGTGATGTTCGAAGCTGACGGCAATGGTGATGGGCTACTCGGCATGTTCTCAATCGCTTCAGCAAGCGACTTATCAATCGGATTTACCCTCGGAAGACTGGTAGGTGTAGGCGACCCTTCGTCGTACCTGTTAGGATCAGAAGCAACAGTTGGTGTCTTGGTGAGTTCTTCGTTGCCGACTGCAGGTGTCTCAGGATAGTTGGAGGGCACTGCAAGATCCAAATGACGGACATCTTCTCGCTCAAGTGCCTCCCGCGGGGTCTGGATTGGCAAATCTGAACTAGGCTTGGTCAGAGGGGGCGTGGTGGGTCCAGACGTCTGTTCTCCCCCGTCCACTGGCTGATCGCTAGTCGAACTCTCTTCTTTGACAACGGAGCTCAACATGTCGCGGGCCATTTCTGGTGACAGATTAGATGGCCTCGGCGATAACGCAATCGACTCATCCTTCTCATCGATGTACGAATCGTCCGCACCTGATTCCCCGCCCTCGTCCACGGATGCCAAAGAGCTCGTAGACTCATCCCGCTCCAAGAATCTCTTCAATTGCATGTTCGCATACCTCCTGATATCTCGCTCGGACGGGAAGAACTGCTGTTCAAACTCCAGAAAAGTCACATCCCAGGCGATTGCCTTTTCCTGAATGGCGCGAATGGCGCGATTCATGGGGATGATCTCGTAGTATTTGGAGTTCATGTACTTGTCTTGGAGTTTGGATTTCAGCCACTCGTGTTCCTCGTTCGCGCGTTTTAGAAGTATCTCAACTTCCTTGCGGCAAACATCCACCTTCTCTGGAATGACATCTTCGACATGTATCCCCTGGATACGAGCGCGAAGCGAGTCCATGAAGCAGTCCAACTTCTCCTCGATCATCAGATATTGGCTATTCTTCAACCTTAGGTCGCTATCCACTTTCCAGGTCACGTTCGGCTTGGGAGCGATGACCTCGTACATCGGTACGGGGTCATACTGTATACGCAGAGCAACATTGCTGTAGCCGAAGTAGCGGACGTGGTCCTTGTGAATGTCGTGGGGACATATACCCGCTCGTGGATGCAGTTTGGTACTCCAGAAAGTCAACTCGAGGTATTTGGCAAAAGAGTATCTCCAACTCCACTCCGACATAGGAAAAGCCTGGGTTTCCTGGCCACATATTCTGCAACAGCTCCACATGAGAATGGTTTGATACATGCCTTTCAGCTTCGGTGGGTGCTTCTGGACAATGACCGTCATTTGACCTTCTCCATGCACATATTGCCGAGAATGATCGAGCATTCTTCGGTCGCAATTGCCCACTTCACAGGCGACACTAGCTGAAGTGCACAGGTCTTCCACGTATTGGCCTAATGTGCAGTCTGGCGTGAAGCCGTCATCATAATCATGTTCTTGGTAAAAGCCAAGCGCAATGATTTCTGGGCCAATGCAGGGAGTCGAGGTTACAGTATTGACAACACTGTAGAGTACGGCGATCTTCTGGTGGTTGAACGGGTCGTAAAGATCCGTGTTACCCGAGAGATACTGCTCCCACTGTCGCTTTTGTGTCAGGTACTGATTCAATGCCTTGTCGTATTCTGAGGCATGCACTGCAGATAGGAATTCCCGAACTTGCTTTGAAGCCTTCTCCACCACGGTGTGGACCATCTCGGGCTGTACGAGTTCGAACTTCTGGCCAATTTCACCGGGCTTTTCGTCACTTTCATCAGCAGTGTACTGGTTCTTGAGCTTCTTCAGATGGCCAAGCTTTGCTTCGTATTGGCGGGCCTGTTCGAGCAGATAAGGTTGCATGAACTTGACGAATGGCGAAGAAGAGAGGATCTTTGTTCGGTGGTTTTCAACCATATCGCTATAGTAGGAGGGTGCAGCATCGCTAGATCGCAGGTCGTTTCCATCATGCAGCGCGTTAGTAGGATGGGAAGCGGTATCGTCCCCACCGCTTTGAGTATGTGAGCCGTCTTGATCTTGGCGGTCCAAGGCGAGAGTACCAGTAATAGAAGCTGTTGGTGTATCTATGAATTCGTCGCGCATCAGGCAAGTCTCGAGCCGAAGGTTGTACACAACATATGTCATGAACTCAGTAACGCGTTTCAACCTGACCAGGTTATGACTCTCGGCACCTCGTAGAACAATTGTGCAGCCGAGTTCTTTCTGACACCCAGACAAAAAGATGTAGGTTTTCCTCGCATTCTTGTGCACATAGGTCTTGACATCAAACCTGCCGCAAGACCCAAGATGGGTTGGGTCTATGGCCAACTTGTCGACGGATGAGATCATTTTCGAATTTGTGCATCGCGCGACGGCGTTCAGTACTGTAGGCTTGACGTTGTAGACTACGGCGATTCCCTCTTTCTCCAGGAATTCGAGTGCCAAGCCAGACACATTACGTTGTACGAGCAGGACGTGAGGTTGGAGAGCTGCGATACGACTTACGAGGTTACGAAGGTATTCCCGCTCCTGGGCAATGACGGGTTCGAGGCTCATGAAGTGTGTTTGGTGTCGCGCATACTCAATAGCGAAAGTGATGATGGCGATTCTTGGGTTGGGTATATTGCGCGGCATACTCCGCAGGGCAACGTTCTTGGTAAAGACCACTCCCGATACGTATGCGGTGTCCTTTGGCTTACCACCCGGGATCTTTTTCAACTTGATGTAGTTCCTCACGTCGATGTCATCTCCTCTATCTACATCAGGATTGACGTCATCTGTACACTGTCGTAAGATCGGGATCAAGGCCTTTTCCCAACTGGACGCGTGCGGTACTCCAGCGTCATTCAACATCTGTATCAGGAGCTTTCGTGCATGATCCAGACTGGCCTTGTTGAGTTCGACCTTGGGTGTCATACCCTGCATTGATGCGCTACGGGTGATTCTCCCTCCGGGTGGTGTTGGTGAAGGGGACGGCTGGAGTTGTGGTGTTCCCGGTCCGCTACCGCCGTAGCCGGTATAAGGTCTTAACAGGGTGTTGCTTTTCGATCGCCTTGGGGAGGCGCGGTGAGTTATGCTGCTTACGCTCAGATTTCTTCGTCGGGACGGTCGATTTCCGTTGCGGCTTGTGATGCTAATGTTATCTGCATCTCGAGCATGACCCGCGCCTATGACACTTCTATCACCAGCCCTTGACTTTCCTTTTCTCATGGCTGCCAACAGACCACCTAAACCACCCCTTTCATGGTCCAAATTCGCGCCAGCCGCAGGATCCTCTCTCAGAGTCGCGAAGATGCTGGCATGATCTTCTTCGCTTGAGCCCTCGTCCGACATGAAGGGAGCAAGATCTGGGTCGATTATGTTATCGTGGTGGAAGGCCGACAGGCTTGGTTGACTGCGTGAGTTATCGTGAAATTGATGGAAGGGCGCGCGATCGTCATGCTTGACATTACGCATGTGTTGGTGTTTGGAAGGGTGTCGTTTGTGGCTCGACGAACGGGGTCTCCCGCCCAGAGACCGCAGAGATCGCGACGAGCTCGGACGGGTCAAGGTTTGAGGACCAAGTTCTATGACATGTGACCGGCGTTTCTTTTCACTGCCCACCTTCCGAGACATGGGGATGCTGATGGTCGGTGTTCCGATCTTTGTATGATCACTCTCAACATGATCAGCCTCGTCGTCGTCCGAGTACTGAGTCCTATCCCCGTTGTCGTAAAGGGAACCTTGGTCGCCATCATCAGTGTAGTCGGACGAGTCATCGTCGTGGCCATATATGATACCCTCACACGGTTTGCACACCTTCAGGTTGCTTTGCTGTCCAAATATCTTACCTGACACGATAGACGTGCACTTGGAATCGAAGATTTGCCCACATGTACGGCAGTGATGCTTACGTCTGAAAGTAGTGAAAGCATCACCGCAGCTGAAACAAGCTTTAGCGTTCTCGTCTCGCATCCAAAACTCGCGGTCTAGGATCTTTCTTCGCATTTGAGTAAAGGTACTTCTTGACATGTTGTGTACCGCAGGCGCAGCCTGGGCTTGTCTCTGAATCTCTTCGATAGGCGCAACAGCAGGAGTGCGTATCGTGGAAGTTGTGATGATAGAGCTCAACCCGTCAGAAGAAGAGGCCCTGGAAGGCCGGTAGCCTGGGAGGTGTGAAGGACCGACATGGAGCATGGGGGGACGCTGCGGCTCCGGTGCGTGTATGGTAGTTTGGGAGCTAGCGGTGTTGTTGCGACCGAGTTGAATCCTCTCGGGGGACTTCTCAGGCTGTTCCCTTGGCTTGTTAGGCGCAGAGCGGGTGGGTTGATATTGGCTGTCGGCGCGGGAGCTGACCCTACTCAGACTTTCGCGCGGAGTGTCTGACCCGGCCTTGAAAGTCGCGCTATCACCCGCTTGACCTTCGCCTTTCACGAGCACCATATCATCGTCATCGGTATCGTCACTTTCCTGACCTGCCAGGTCAAAGTCGCCCTTCTGTCTCCTAGCAGCGCTGTCCCGGTTTGGAGCGAATCGCGGAGAATCTAGCCTTTGGGCTCCTAACGCAGGATCTCTCGGCGTGTTGCTTCTTGGTAAGTCGACGGTGGAGGTGCTTTGGCTTCTAGAGTGGGGGCCCATAGGGCTCAGGATCGATGATTCGTCGTGTTTTGCTGTATGCCCTGTGTCGACGCTCGGGGTCATTGAGTTCCGGGACCGCGCAGTACCAAGCGAAGCCTTGGACGCATTCATGGACGTCTTACTGGAGAGCGTAGTACTAGATATGTTGGAGTCGCGGGAGGGAGGCAGGGCGTCGGGGAAGTTGGCTGTTGCTGGAGATTGCATGCGCGACGACGGCCTAGAGGTGACAACGGGTGAAGACACGGACGTCCCCCCTGGGCTTCGAGTGACAGCCGCTGACTTGGAGGCCGGTGAAGTCCCGCTCCTGCCATCTTGTGATTGTTCTCTGACGCCTCCTACAGAAGCTCTCAGGCGACTGTACAGCCCACTGAAGCCACCCTGTACCAAGTCTATGCCCTTGGGCTCACCGACTGAGCTTGGGGCCGGTGGCACGGTGAAGTCATCGAAAGTAGTGAGCGTGTCGGAGCGTGATGCCTGGGCATGCATTTGGTAGAGCGAAGGCGGCTGCAGCGAGCCCCGCCGCGAGTCTCTGGACATGGCTGCCGTCAGAGGAATTGCAGTCTGCGGGTGCAGTAGGAAGTATCGAGTGTGTCCAGACGGATCGGCGTCCGACAGTGGCCTGTGGTGAACAGCATCAGGCTTCAGGTGGGATCATGCCTAGTAAGTCTGGCGGACAGCGAGGTGGAGTCGAGGATGGCGGATGATTCGTTACACGTGTGTTGCTTCGGATTCATGAGAATGAGGAAGAAGATTCCAGGCGCCGACAGTAGTCAGCTACGACGGCACTGGCAGCTGGAGCATCACGAGGTGCATACAGCTAGCTAGGCATGCAGGAAACGCGGCGGGCCATGACGCGCAGCCGCCAAGGAATTCCGCTCGCTGTTCCGCCCCCACGTCCCTCGGCATGAATTCATGCCCTCCAGCCACGAGATGCAGCCGCCGTGAATGGCGGCCCAGAGCAAACGCGTATCAAGTGCTGGCTGGGCGAGTGAAGTATCAGCCGCTATTCTCTATTAGATAAGACTCTATTATGTTCTCTTCACGAGTCCCTACACGGCTTGTTGTTCCTCCTCCCCGCACATCTCGCCGGGACCAGAACGCGTCGCGTCTCCCACTGGCGCCGCGACATCCCATTGCATGGCCCTTCGCCTCAGCGCCTGGCTTGAGGAAACGTTCGAGTCCCAGCTGCTGCTAGGCAACCAGTGGCTCCAGGACACCTTTGAGAAGAAGCGGTCTGGCGTTAGAGCCCAATTGCACAGGCAGTGGGACGTGTACCACGATAACGGATCTTCTCTGGATATCATCAACTACGTCCACTCTGACCGCAACAGCGCACTGCTGGTACTCAAGGCAGGTGATAATGCGCCCATCGCTGCTGCTACGTCTAACATCACCTATACCAGGTCGCGCCTCTTACACTCACCGACGGCCAAGTCCAGATCCTCTCCCAATTCACGCCTGACTGCGCTCGGAACTTCCTGCAGGCATTCCCCGCGCTATCGCACCTGTCCATCGGCACCACAGTAGCCGTCCGCACTTTCACTATCCGCCTCACTCCGTACGGCCCGCCGAGCGAAAGACTGCGCTTGATACTAGATCGGATCGATTGGCTGGGCGATAACCGCGAACGAGTACAGAATCTGACGCGAGAGATTCTGAGGCCACTGCATGCTTGCGAGCAGATTGGTGTCTTGCTAGAGCAGCTGCGCCATATCCGCGAGCGAGAGGACCGCCGATGCTTGGCATCTGGTGCTGAGGAAACGGACGTAGAAGCAGTCGACGACGCTACGGCGGATAACATGGGTTCAGATGGGAACATGCCGCATGGCAACGAGCTCCAATCACAGATAATGGGCACACAACTGCCGTTTGGAACACAACTGCCTCTCCCATCCCGTCCTCATGCAGGCAACGAGGAACCACAGGTCATAGGAGTGAACCGCCTGGAGCCAGTCCTAGGCGGTAACACCCAACGAAAAGAGATACGGCCAGGTGCTGCTAACACCGACTACGAGAAGAAAGAAACACTGCTAGGCCTGATCGGCAGATCTTCCAATTCAAACGCCCGCAAACCTGGAGCGACCTCTGCAAGCGGTTTCGTGCAGTCAGCTTTCGGTAAGCAGCAAAGTGACGATACGCCGACTGTGAATGAATCTCTCGAAGCACCGTCAGATGCATTGCAGCAACAGTCAACAAGGTCCGGACCAGAAGCCGGGAATGAAGAGCCCTCGCCATCTGTGTCCAATCATGGGAGGAAGAGGGTCAAGAGGGTCCGCGAGATATCGCCCGAACCTGCAGAAGCTACCGAAGACGTTCGAACCGAGGAGCAAACCATTGAACAAAGTCTGATTGAGGACGACAATGAGACAATGCCTCCGTGCTCTTGGATGGCAGACTTGATCTTCAATAGCGAGACGCTAAAGGTACCTAGAATCCAGCGGAACTGTCTGGACAGGGAAACCAGTTGGCTAAAATCTCAACCCGGGGTTCAGCCTTTCCAGGCTGGAAACATGCCGCAATCAATACTCATGGCTTGTCATCGGATGGCTGACGAGAGAGCTGGCGCTGAAACTGACGATGAATCGGACCCAGATCCGTCTGCAGAGACTGTCGATCCATCGCCCGAGTCTCTGCCCCAAAAGACGCAAGATGATGAACCTGCCTTTACCAAAAACGACAGATCTGCGAGGACAAAAGATGATGAGCCCGTGACTACTCAAGACGACAGTGATGCCGGTAGGGAGACGTCCTGGAGCACGTCCCCGGAGCCTCCACCACGTCCAGCAAGAGTCCATCAAGAACTTCCTCCTGACTCAAGCATCGAGAAGCCCGCATCTCATTCAGAACAGGATTCTGCGTCACAGCCAATGTCCGCCAGCAAGCAGTCACAAAATCGTTCTGTCGTCGAGATTTCAGACGACGACGAGCCAACTGGTCCATCATCCTCGCCACCCGTTGCAGCTGCACCCGCAGATTCTGACGATGAAATGAACATGGAAGAATCCGTTCCACAAGCCTTGGGCGAAGATCTTACACGGCACAGAAGAGAGACATCGGCAATCGGGAATGCTCCAAAGTCTGATCCCTTGCGGTCGCCTGTAGTTGTTCAAGTGAAAGAAACTCCATATGGAAAAGGCAAGAATGCCCCAGGCGCCCAAAGCTCAAGCGGCGAGCCAAAACAACAATCATCTACATCGATAGTTCATAGTACATACGATACGCCTAGTCTCTCTGATCTTGCCGAGCTTGGGGTCATGCAAAGTTCAGGCGACAAGCACAAGGGAGTTGAAGTGCCTAGCAGTGTACTCCAAGGCCCCAACGGCGATGACGCTGGAGACATAGAGATGCTAGACCATATCCCAGACGCACGAGATCTTAATAACGAGACGGCTGCTGCACAACGATCGCAACACAGGCTAGATCAAGGGACGAAGTCCACATCTTTCTCCCATGCAACGACCAAATCTACGCATCTATCGCCGGAAAACCGCGGCGTACAGTCATCACCGGTAGTACCTCACCTCGCTTCACAATCCACCAAGCGCAAGCTCATTAGTTCGCCGACCAAGAGCAAACGTCGACAATCTAAGAGACGCGAAATCAAGATTGTCGGGTTTGGAGACGAGGCTCCGTCCACAATCGACCCAGTGGCTGCGTTACTCAAAGAACGAGACGATTCTCTACGCAGATGGCGGGAGCAACGTAATTCTAGCACAAGCTTTGACAGTCGACCTGAGACTACGAGCAGATTTGCCACGGAAGATTCAGACGCAATGGATATTGACGGTGCTGTCAAAGTGGAGAAAAAGGAGTCATCGCCCAGCATGTCCCCTCGGCATCAGGATCTATATGACGAACCGAGTCCTAGACAAGTAAAGCCCGCTGCAAACCCAGCTTCCCAGCCGCCCACAACACATCCTCAATCACAAGGCCGCTCCCGTGATAATCGACCTCGTGGTCCCGTTCCGATACCTATGCAACCTCTACCAGCATCTTCAAAGCCAGTAGATCAAGATGATGTCCAAACCGTCTTCCAGTCCTTCAAATCCGCCTATCCGCAATATGATGGTGATGAGAAGCACTTTCGAAATCAATGCACGCAGATGTATCAACTGGAACAGGAAGACAAGATGGTACCGAAATGGCAATGGGACGATTTCATCATACGCAACAGGACAGACTACAGGCAATATGCCATGGACTGTATTGGCCAAGGGGAAGATCCGGAGCCATACCATCGCTTCTACAAGAACGACATCCGTGATACCTTGTACAAAGAGGGCATTATTAAGTACACGAAGACGCTGGAAAGGGCACTGGAGGAGCTTAGTGGTGGTCCAGCTGCAAGACCAGCCGAGTCTAGACAGGAAGTCCAATCTGCCCCGAAGCCAAAACCAATAAGGAAGTCACTGCCAGGTTCCTTCAACCAGCCCAAGAAACCCACACATGACCGCGTCGACAACGCCCACTCCCGTCCGCGCCAGTCCCTTCCTACAGATCCGCGTCTCCACGCCCAAAGCCCTCTCCGACCCAGCTCACCTTCATCCGGATCTTCATCACGGCCCCAGCCACGCCCATCAAATACAACAAAACGCATACCCTCTACAACCCGACCCCCACGCCAGCCTTCCAACAACTCCCCCTCCAACACCACCGATCCAACCAACCCAGCCCCCACCACCACAAGCACCGGCGACAAATACCGCGACTTCGTCTTCGCCATGCAACGCAGCGCCTCATGGACCGGCAGCACTGAAGTGAGTCCCAAGCCCAAGAAGTGACCAGAAAACCCCCCGTATCAAGTCATTTGCAAGAGAACAATTGGCTAAGGTATGTGTTTTTCCTTTTAGGTCGATCCAAAGAAACCGTGGCCACAGAGTCTGGCTGGTAGACCGAGTGTGGCTGATGCGCCGAGGAGCAAGGTTGATGTGCTGGATTGGGGGGATGTGCTGGGGAAGATGGGGTGGAGGGGTGGGAAGTGAGGTCGGAAGGAATAGCTTGGATTTGGATGTGGCTGAAGAGGATTGGAAATGGTTCAAGACGGCTTGGATCAGATGGATAATATGTGTGTTGGAATGTCCTGGCTTCTTATCTTGTTAAAGGGCTTGAATACGGTATCATGGGACTTTGAGGCATTGCTAGCACGATTCGAGCAACTATACATTAGCGATCACAAGGTCGCAAGCAATTCCACAGATTCATGCGGAGAATACCTTTGTGATGCAAGCGCTGAGAACTATGCGTGCAATCGTTCGATTACCAATATCATTGCAAGAGGGTATATACTCCCCGCCTCGTCCATATCTGACCTGGCAGCCAGTGAAACCCCATCAAACGCCTTGTTCCCATCTCATTCATACACATACCATACATATGCTAACACACATGCCAGCCCTAAGCGCCTGACGCCGACGTCCTCCACCTCCTCACACCCTGCAATCCGCTAACACCAACCGTGACCACCAATAGCAGCGCATTGAACCCAGCCATCATATAGAACGGCGCACCAGGTCCCGTACTATCGAATAGCGCACCGC